CGTGGGACCTCCCTCGGGCCACTGGCAGGGACTCCGTGCCAGAGACGGGCCAAGCAGCTGTGTGCGTCCCAGGCCACGTTGCGGTCACGTGGGCAGGAGGCAGTTTCCATGCGGGAGGGGTGGGAAGATTCACCCAGTGCCGGGGGCTGGCACAAGATCAGGGTGGGACGTGGCAGCTGATCGCCCCTCTCAGGTGCCTGTGCCAAGCCGGGTTTGCCTGCGACCAGCGTCCCCCCCCGCCCCCTGCAGGAAACTCCTGTGGCCTCTTGACCTGCGCCCAGCCGCTCCCTCTGCCCTGCCGGCTCCTTCCCAGCCAGGGGAGTGGCCTGTGGGGTGGGGCCGTGTCACGTTACTGAAATCGAGGGAAGCAGCCAGGTCACTGCTGCACCCCTGGGGGGTGCTGGCCCCAGAAATGGTGTAGAAGGCGCCATGTGGGGTGTTGGATAGACGCTCACTGTCTGCTGATCCCGTGTACGCTGGTCATGTGACTGGGTAACGTCTGGGTGGAGTTAGACGCCTGTACTCTGTGTGGATACTGAATATTTCTCTGCGTGTGGCTGAGCAGTGGGCAGAGCCCGGCCTGTGGACACGCTAATCAGCGAGGCCCTGTGGGACAATGGCTCTCAATGGGCCAAGGACACGCCTCGGGAATGAGGCCCGACACCTAAGGGCTACCAGCAGGGAACACAGGGACAGGCCATGGGCCAGGTGACCTGCTGCAGCCAGGAAGAGACCAGGAAGGAGGGATAAAGATGCCATGTGGCTGACTCCATCTTGGTCTTCAGATCTGCTGCTGACCCCAGATGCAGCCTCGCAGGGAATCACGAGCCGGGAAGAACTGTGGACCCATCCTGCTATAGGATGAGCAACAAGGACTTTTAAGCCAGCAGCTGTAACATCTCTGCTAGAGCCTGCACCGAGAACTGGGAGATTCGGTGCATGTAATGTATGATTCTTTAGCAACCTCACGCTCAGGCTTTTCTTTCTGGTAGCAATAAACCTTTAGATGTTAGATGCTAAAGGATTGGCTCAGCGTGATTTGTGGGTAAGATCCAGAGGGTAAAGTGACCAGGGATCTGTGGCTGGTTTCTTGGGACCAAACAGAACTTGTTCGGGGTAGGTGGGACTGGGTGCTAGGACCCCCCACCTGTGTATGAGGCCCGGGGCCATCTGGGGCACGGATATTGCTGGGGTGCCAGAGGGGTTTTGCTCATGAGGCTTCAGGCAGGCAGCTGAAGCGCTCCGTGGGACTGGGTGTGGCCTGTCCAGAGCAGGCAGGGCCCAGCTCCCCGGGCTGGGGTGGGAGAGCCCGGCCTGCCCCCTGAGGAGCAACTGCCCTGGAGCCCAGCCCCGCGGCAGCACCAGACGCCTGGCCCACGGCCTCTTTTCCAGAGCACGGGGGAGGATTTTGTATCCACCTGAAAACAATGGCAGCGCTGCCAGAAACCCCCGAGTCGGGCTCCCCGGCCTCAGCTGCAGAGCCTGAGCTGGAGGCGCCGGAGCGATGGCCGAGCCGGGGCCAGGGTCAGGCCGTGCAGCATCCCCTTGCTGGGTCTCCCCCCACAGAAGGGCCCCGGCAGCAGGCTCCGAGCCCTGCACGGCGAGGGACGGTGCCGCACGCACAGCCAGACTGCCGGAGGCTGCTCGTCCAGCAGCGCGGCGCCCTCTGCCGTGCCGCAGGGCGACAGCGAGTCATTGCGCAGAGCCGGGGCAGCTGAGCCCTGGGCTGGGAGGAAGGGCCTGCGGGGCTCAGCTGGACCTGGGCCAGGAGGGTTGGGGACCTGCGGGGCTCAGCTGGACCTGGGCCAGGAGGGTTGGGGACCTGCGGCCGACCTTTTCCGGGACATGCTGGGACCCGGGCTCCCCTCGCCCAGCCCCCGGGCTCCATCCCAATGGGCTTGGCAGGGATCCCAGGGCCTGGGAAGCACAAGGCACATCCTCCGTGCTCTGCAGGCGAGTGCTGCCTCCCCAGCTCTGCAGCTGCCAGCCGCCCCGGGGGCCAGCGGAGCCCCATGTCCAGCACAGCTGGAGACGCCCTGTCACTGAGCCACCGCCCAGCCTGGCCCTGTGCGCTGCAGCTGCTGTTCAGAGCACAGGGTGCCAGGCCCACCAGACAACACCCGCAGCCGCGCTCGGGGGGGCAGTCGGACAGTGGCAGGAGAGGGACACGTGGGCCAGGGCAGCGGGGACACGCGCAGTGCGACTGTTACTACCTGGTGATGCAGGGCCCGGTCCTGCAAGCGCAAAGCACAAGTGACGAGCAGCCAGCAGAGAAAGCAACTGGAATGTCTGACGGGTGCTGCCCTGTTGCAGCCCGGGGCCCTGGCAGCTCTTTCAACAATTCCCTGCAGCTCAGCTGGCTCTTGCAGGGGGGCGCACCCGCTTCCTGTCACCCCCGCTAGCAGCCCGAGCTCTGCTCAGAAAGCTGGGGTGAGAGGCAGCGTGCGAGCGAGGCCGGCAGGGCTCTCGGCTGGCCCGTGCTCAGCCTCCAGGGCCAGGCATGGAGCCCAGAGAGCTGTCTGGGGAATGGGGAGCTAGCAGAGGTAGCGAGGCCCATCTCCATCCCAGTCAGCCAGCCAGGAGCCCCGCAGTGGGCACCGAGCCCCAGCAGGCAGGTCAGCATCACCCGCCCGTTTATACAGCAAAGAGGCAAAGGAACCTGCCCAAGGCCGCAGAGGGAGGCTGTGGCAGAGACGGAAACAGCCCCCCCAAGGCTCCCGAGTGCCAGCCCAGAGCCTTCGCAAGCCCAGCCTGCCCTGGGTCTGGGACGAAGGATGAGCTGGGCCCCCCCTTGTCCTGCCCGCGCCAACCCTCACCTTGGTCGTCGTTTCTAAAACGATTTCCTTGTGCAGCAGCTCAGCCACCATCTTCACGTGGCCTTCCTTGGAGGCCAGGTGCAGGGCGTTCAGCCCATTCTGGAAAGAGCGGAGAGAAAGCTGCTTAGGCGGGCAGGGGGGCACGCGGCTGGAAGCTGGGGGCTGCAGCGGGAAACCCCCCTGCTGTGCAGCCAGGGCTGCAAACACAAGCCCATGGCAAAGCAAAGTCCTGGGCCACCAGCTGCTGACAGCACCGAGCGAGCCCCCCAATGCAGAGCAATCGCATCACCGTGGCACACGGATGGGGAAATGGAGGCAGGTGCTCAGGGTCTCACAGCTGGGACTAGGAACCAGCAGGTGCCGGGGTCGCCCCGTTCTCTCCCCCAGCAGGGACAACTGAGAATCTCAGAGCGACCAATGCCCGTGCGGTGCCGCTCGCCCCGTTCTCTCCCCCAGCAGGGACAACTGAGAATCTCAGAGCGACCAATGCCCGTGCGGTGCCGC